AGCTGCCATTCCAACTGTCATCTCTGTGAGAACAAGCTAAACGTATGTATGTATGAAACAACTATGTGTACGAAAACGCCATGGCCTACCAAACGGAAAAGAGCAAGAGGTCACAACTTCCCTGCTGGGTTCCCAAATCATTTTAGACCAGGCTAAGCAAAAAATATTAATTCTAGAGTTCCAGTTCATATGCACACAGGTTTGTGCCAAACAAAACATATGTAAACATGCCTCTATGATCAGTGGATGGCTACAGACAAGTTCTATTAGTAATGAACCTGTCTCGGTCTCATTAGGGTGCCTTCAAAATTGGCTTCAATCAAAACAATGGTGGCAAAGGGTTCTGCTGGGCCAGATAAATTCAAGGCAGAGATGTCTGTTTAGAATATTTTGACAATTGTTCTTTATTATTATTTCAAAAGAATATTTCTTCCATCTTCTTTTGATGCTTCAGGCCCAACACATAACCCGTTACATTAGGAGGGCTCCTTATTTTGCCCATCCCAAACTCAATTTACTGCCGTCAAGTTGATTCTTCTGACTCAGCAATCCTAGAGGATGTTTCAAAATTACAACTCAACGCTTGAATTTTTCTATCAGTTATTTTTGCTTGAGATATGGTAAGCATGTTCTTGTCCTTATTTTTAATTCAAAGTCTTTACATATTTTATTATACTGTTATAATGATTTGTTTGTTTGCTTGCTTTTTAAAAAATTTCAAAATCTTGATTTTCCCAAAGGACACAAGATGGTCATAAGGGCTTATTTATGAAGAAATATGAAAATTACATTGAAAACCACTGGAAAACATTGGCGGGGACTAGGTGAAGAAAGTTGCATCAAGGAACCCCCCCCACCCCGCCTCCAGCCCCCATCACCACAATGTATTTACTCATTCTTCATGAGTAATGGGCTGTCCTACCATAACTTCATTTAGGAAAACTGTACCATATTCAGCCTATGGACCTATTCTTGCCTCTTCAAACTTTTATGTTCTCCAAACTGAAATAACATTTCAAAGGAACACAATTGGAGTCCCTCAAGAATGCTTAAATGCCATTTTGATGTACTGCAAATCAAAGAGAGCAGAATTCTTAGGGAAGCGTCAGAGAGATAGAAACTTCCAGAAGTATATAGACCTGATGGAGACATGTTAAGGACCAGCAGTTTCACATTTGGATATTTCATTTAATAAAATTTCCATTATGATGGTTGTGCATTTATATGATTTTATAACAATATTTTTTATTTGCCCTCAAATTTGTGAAATTTAGAGTTTAACTCCCTTGGGTACAGATGAAGTTAGAGAGTGTGAACTCATAAATCTGTTTTGAATGTCCATGGTACAGCACAAAGGCATATGAGAATGAAAAGTTTTTTCTTTTCTGATTTTCTTAGTACTGCCTCCTATTTCCACTAAATAGGAGGCTTTTGCTGCAGATATTGGACCCCCCCCCTTAGTAGCTATTCTAAACATGTACAAGTTCTCTTAGCTGATTGAAATTCTTGAGCCTCCCTTCCCGATACCTATGCTAGCATTTTATTTACGTGTGTGTGTGTGTGTGTGTGTGTGTGTGTGTGTGTGTGTGTGTGTGAGAAAGCTGGACAATACATAAGAGTGAAGAAAAATTGGTGTATTTGAGTTACGGTATTAGTGGAGAATATTGGAAGTACCAGAGACTGCCAGAAGCACAAACAAATCTGCATGGGAGGAAGGACAACCAGACTGCTCCTTGGAAACAGGATGGTGAGATTTCATTTCCTGTACTTTTAGCATGTTATCAAGGAAGACCAGTCCCTCTAAAAGCAATTGTGCTTAGTAATGTAGACGTTGCTAGGCACCTTTCAGTGGTTCTGACTCACGGCAGTGTTCTGTATCCGAGAAGAAACACCGCCTGGCCCTGCACCATCCTCACCACTGTTATGTTGGAGCCCATTGTTGCAGCCATTTTCTCAGTCCATTCAGAAGTTCCCTCACACAAATTTTTTTGACCTTCTACTTTATCAAGTCCTTTTCCAGGCCCTGGTCCACTCTGATGACGTGTCTAACCACCATCTTCAATTCCAAGAGACGTTGTGGTTGTCCCCTTCCAAGACAGGTTTGTATGTTCTTCTGGCAGTCCGTGTTGCTCAATATTCTTCCCCAGCACCATACTTCAAAATGCATTGATTCCTCTTTGGTCTTTCGTATTCGGTGTCCAACTTTCATCTGCATGAAAGGTGACTGCAAATATCATGGCTTGGGTGAGGTACGGCTTAGTCTTCAAAGTGATATCCTTGCTCTTCGATACTTGAGAGATGTCTTGTATAGCAGATCTGTGTCGGTGGAAAAGAAGACCTTCAAAGGGATGGATTAACATGTTGGCTGAAGCACCGGGCTCTAAAAGACCAATTGTGAGGATGGCCAGAACCAGGCAAGACTTTCTTCTGCTGTATTACTGGAGTTAAGGGGTGCTGTCATCAGAGCTGACTCCACACCTAACCACGTTTTGCCTTTCTGCCTCTATTACCTGCTTCAGCCACAGTGTTTTAGGCAATGCTTGGGGGTCTTCTGTGGTAGTGTTCCCTCCTTTTGATAGCATTAAGTTCAAATCGGATCCTTCTGTGGACTGTCCAGGCCTACTACCTACGTTCAGGCCAACCATAGAATCAAGGACCCACTGAAAAGTTTTCCTCCACCGTAGTGGTGTTCACCTGCCCCTGTCCCTTCAGGAAAACCTTAGCCTCAGATACCCCCTGCCTGATCGGTTGGGTCTCGATTGTTTTTCCTTCAGGAGGCTTGATTCCAAACTGGTACATCTTTCTGATGCTGACTACAGGTCAAGACAGACATGGTGAATGGATTACTGAAAAATAATAGGCTTTTACTCCCCGCATGAGCAAGATGAAAGGGTTTAAAATAACTTCTGTTTACACTTGGAAACGTAACATTCCAAACTCTAAATCCCCAACAGGGATTTAGCTGTAATTTATTAGCTATCATGAAAATAAAAAACATCTCTGGTTCTAAAATAGTTGATTTACATAGCATCTCAATTGATGCCTGGAGACACTGGGGTTTGTAAATATTTCTGTGTGTTTAAATTTTTTATCACCATCATTACAAGCAACCTATGTAGACTCAGAAGTGGGAAAACAGATCTTGATAAGAAACCTGACAAATCACAAATGAAACCAATGCCCTCAAGGGTCTGAGGGATGTTAGATAAGTGGGTCCTGGAATAGGGATCCCTGAAAGAAAAGGGGATTGACCAATGTGTTACAACAGGGACTGCACGCTATTTAACAGAGAGATACTCATCTACACTGGGTCAGGATAACAGACTTGGAATAACATGTATAGTTTCATTTTTTTTTTCTTTTGGTGTCTATCTATACAAGATATGCAGGATAAGCAATCCCAAGGAGAGAGCAATGAACCGACTGTTGGGGGGCAGGGGGCATGGGAGAGGAGGAGGCGGGGGGAGGGGAGCAATGAGCCAATAAGGACAGGGATAGGGGAATAGCAAGGGATCTAAAATTGGCAGTGAGGAAGGTGTAGCATTCATTAACCTCTTTGGTCAACTGAAATGTATTCGTGAGCAATTACTGAGTGGTGAATGATCAGTAAACATGATAGTGGGGAGGAGGATGTAGCATTCCCAGTTGTGTTTGATCAACTGAAATGTATTCAAGAAGAATTTCTGAGAGGTGCAACGTGATAGTGGGGCAGGAGGAAAGAAAAAAACCAAAAGAGGAAAGTACAAGTCAGTAAAAATTATATATATAGGCATAAATATGAATTTGTATATGTGTAAATATATAAATATAGGTGTATTTGTCTATGTATGTATATGTGTGTGCATGTAAATATAACAAGGAAGCAGATGGACTTTGAGCCTCTATTTAGCTTTTACCTCAGGACAAGAATGGCTTTGTCTAATAATGTGGCACTGTATGATACTCACCTTCCCAACACGATCACTGAAGACAAAGTGGATGCATAAGCAAATGTGGTGAAGAAAACTGATGGTGTCCAGCTATTAAACTATATGGGGGGGGGGCAATATAGCGACTGGGGTCTTAAAGACAAGTTAAACAAGAGGCCATTTAGTATGGACTCAACAAAGCCCACATGGAAGAAGCATACCAGACTGTATGATCATGAGGTGTCAATGGGAAATAGGTATCAGAAATTCAAAAACTAGCAATTAAATTGATGTGAAGGAGTATAGACAAAGTGGAGACTAAAAACCCACCTGTAAGATAAGAAGAGCCACAAGGAAGGGATGATATGTCCAGGGTGCAGAATAGCACTGATGAAACACTTAACTATCCTCTAGTTCTTTAATGTTTCCTCCCTTACTATTATGGTCTTAGTTTTACCTCATTAATCCTGTTAGACCTGTGTATGTTCATTCATATAATTAATTCGATACATGATACATGAAACCCGAGATAGATAAACAGTAATGGAAGAAAGGATTCTCTGAAGGGATGGGAAGAGGAGTGGTGGGGGGAAGGGGGAGGAAGGGGGAACCTATAGCAATGATGACTCTATAACCCCACTCTGGGGGAACAACTAACACAAGTGTAGGTGAATGGAAACATGTGATGGGCTAAGATATGTCAATAATAATAATAATAACAATATATAATAAGGGTTCCTGGGGGTAGGATGGGGAGAGAGGGGATAAAGGGGAACTGATGTCAAAGAATTCAAGAAGAAAGATAATGTTTTGAAAATGATGGTGGCAGCAATTGTACCAATAAGCTTGATTTAACTGAATTATGGGTTGTTACAGTATCCGTAAGAGCTTCTAACAAAATTATTAAAACAACAAAACAAAGCCAATGTCCTCTAGGATGGTTCAATAAAGCAGTGGTTCCTAAGCCTAGTAGTGTATCAGATTCAGAAGCTGAAGAGGAACCAAAAGGTGCATTTTCACAGTTTTTTGGGAGTTTCTTTGGCCAGCCCATGTCATTACTGAGAAATAACTATTTGGAACCCCAAGCAATACCTTAATGTAGTACCGGATAAGAATCCTTCTGAGGTCAAAGACCTGCAGTAAGGTGGCTGCATTGTTGTCTATGATATTATAGCCCTCCAGGATGTACTGTGTCCGCGTGGTTTCCCACGTGAGCCATCGTAGGTTAAATGCTGCATTGCAGGACAACAGGTGAGGCAAGTGGCCTGGCTGACAACAGCAGCAACCTCCATCATCCTCATCACCCTCCATGATGGCTTCCACCTCTCGCTGCTGGCAGTATGTTCCTGCCAAGTGCAAACAAAAGGAAGGTGGAACAATGTCATACTACAACTTTTGGTTAGATTTTTTCCCCTTGCCTTAGTTAGAGGGGAAGATAATTAAGAGAAGGGAATCTAAGAGTCATGAAATGTATTTAGCTCTTACTTTAAACAGTGTTCCCAAATGGGCCACAATGCTTATTCATTAACCCTCCTTTTTATTCATATTTTCATCTCTTTTCTCATATTCCCCCCCTCTCGTGGTTCTGAACATGACTGTCATACAAATGAATAGTCTTATGTTTCCTCTTCCAGAAACGTGCGGTCATGACTGAAGCCAACAGGAAAGTGGCATGTAGAGTGTCATGGTGCCTCATACTATGACGAGCAGGGTAGTGGGGGTGTTGAGTAGACTTGCAAAGGAGTTCGTTTCAGACACGTGATAAAATAGTTCATATACACAGCCTTTTTGTCATTTGAAGGGAAATATATGTAGGATGCTAACGATATGAGGATATTGGTACATGTTAAAACCACCTTAATGCAGTCATTTAAATAATCTAAATAATTGTATACATCATCTCATCTAGAATTATTTTAGGAACCATGGACTGAGTTTAATATAGAGGAAATTAAATATCCTAAAATTAGATTCCAAAAACCAATTTCCTCATTTAAAATATAATGATATAGTAGCATAATTTATAACTATTTTCATAGATTAATACATTAAAAGCAAGATACATATATAATTTAACATAATTTAGATAGCATCAATATTAATATAAAGTATAAAATAAAGAGACTTGGTCCTAATGTTGTGGTTATTGTTAGGGCTGTTGCATTGATTCTGACCCAGAGTGACCCTGCGCACAACAGAATGAAGCACCACCCATCCCTGCACCACCCTTACCATTGTTCTTATGTTTGAGCTCTTTGTTGCAGCCACTGTATCAATCCATCTTGTTGGGGCCTTCCTTTTTGACGCCGCCGCTCTACTTTACCAAGCAGGACCACCTTCTCCAGAGACTGGAGAAGCACACGAGCCAGTCTCCTTACCTTTGCCTCTACAGAGCATTCTGGTTGGACTTCTTCCTTTTGAATGCGTTTGGACCTTGACTTCAGGCTTATCCTTTGGCACTTTCTCTGACAACGTTCTGACGGCATTGTTTAGGTTTTCAGCATGTGACAAAGGTTCACTACTATCTACAAGGTTTTCAGTTGCTAATCCCTCTGAAGTTGAGAGCCTAGCCTTTGTTTGTCATCTCTTCCTAGACAGGGAGCTCTGCTGAAACCTGTTTACTTTGGGTGAACTTTATGGTATTTGATATACTAGTGACATAGGCAGCACATAAGCCACCACAGTATAACACACTAACAAATTATATGTAGATTATGCACACATTATATAATAGATTATATATAGCAATAGATTTGCCTCCAGTATAACATAAATAGTCATTGATAGAGTCAGATGAAATCAGTGAGTGATAGTCAATTAATATGGACCCCTAGAAATATGCTTTGTGTTATATAATTCTGCACTCCATGCACCTGTGGTTATAGTCCTTTTGTGGGCATTCTCTACTATACTAATGGAGAGGACCGGGGTAGGATTAAGATTGACCAAAGTAGGGTGGGAACCAAGCCACACCCTTTGCTTCCTTGGGGGCATCTTTGATCCCATCTTAATAGAGAGTGTGAGTTAAAATACCACCTGTTGTTTTCCTCCGCTATATATTGCCACCACCATACAGTTCTGACACCCTCACCTTACCTGGAAAGTAATCCTCTATTTCCTGACCAATGTTGGATAGAAGCAAGTAGACCTACTTTGGTTTTTGGACATGTTTGACTTCTTGCTCTGGCCTGTGCAGTTTGCTTGCCTCTGCCTGACTTTTGAGCCATGATCAGAACAGCACCCGCCACCATGTGGGACATTTCCTTGAAGTTTCATGAGTTTCTGTGTGATGTTGCAGTGAATTGCAGAATCCAGTGGGGTGAGGAAATATACTAAAGGGGGGGTGGGAAATGGAGCAGAATAACGTGTTGGAAGAGTTAGACGTTTGGGACATCTTTAATCTCCAACTCCTTGAGACTAACCTGGTATTCGTTTTTATGATTATAATTATATTATTCTTCTTTGTTTTAATCATTTTATTAGGGGCTAATACAACTCTCATCACAATTCGTACATACATCAACTGTGTAAAGTACATTTGTACATTCATTGCCCTCATCATTCTCAAAACATTTGCTGTCCACCTAAGCCCCTGGCATCAACTCCTCATTTTTCCCCTCCCTCCCCGCTCCCCCTTGCCTCATGAACCCTTGATAACTTATAAATTATTCTTTTGTCATATATTGCCCTGTCCGACATCTCCCTTCACCCACTTTTCTGTTGTCCGTCCCCCAGGGAGGAGGTCACATGTAGATCCTTATAATCGGTTCCCTCTTTCCAACCCACCCTCCCTCTACTCTCCCAGGATCGCCACTCACACCACTGGTCCTGAAGGGATCATCCACCTTGGATTCCCTGTGTTTCCAATTCCTATCTGTACCAGTGTACATCCTCTTGTCTAGCCAGATTTGCAAGGTAAAATTCGGATCATGATAGTGCAGGGGGAAGGAAACATTTAGGAACTAGAGGAAAGTTGTATTATTCATCGTTGCTACATGGCACCCTGACTGGCTTGTCTCCTCCCCGATACCCTTCTGTAAGAGGATGTCCAGTGGCCTACAAATGGTCTTTGGGTCTCTACTCCGCACTCCCCCCATCGTTCACTATGGTAAGATTTTTTGTTCTGATGATGCCTTATACCTGATCCCTTCGACACCCCGTGATCACACAGGCTGGTGTGCTTCTTCCATGTGGGCTTTGTTGCTTCTGAGCTAGATGGCCGCTTGTTTACCTCCAAGCCTTTAAGGCCCCAGATGCTATATCTTTTGATAGCTGGGCACCATCAGCTTTCTTCACCACATTTGCTTATTCACCTGCTTTGTCTTCAGCGGTTGTGTCGAGAAGGTGACCATCATAGAATGCCAATTTAATAGAAGAAAGTATTCCTGCATTGAGAGAGTACTTGAGTGGAGGCCCAATGTCCTTCTGCTACCTTAATACTAAACCTATAAAAATATGCACATAGATCTATTTCCCCATCCTCATATATAAATATATTTGCATATGTACATGTCTTTATCTAGACCTCTATAAATGTCCTTTGCCTCCTAGCTCTTTCCTCTATTTCCCTTGACTTTCCTCCAGTCCCACTATCATGCTCAGTCCCCACCAGGGTTTCAGCAATTCCTCTTGGTTACATTACCCTTGATCATGCCCGGTCTGTCTAAATAAAATAGGATGGATGAACAATCTGGAGGAGAAAATAATGGGACTGACAGTTCCGGGTGGATATGGGAGAGGGGGAAGAGGGGGAAAAGGTAGTGGTGTTAACAAACCCAGGGACAAGGGAACAACAAGTGATCCAAATCGGTGGTGAGGAGGGTGTCAAAGGCCTGGTAGGGCTGGTATTAATTCTTCTAAAGGAAATTATTACCACACTGTGGTAGTTAGATTTTATGCCAACTTGAATTTGCACAAAAGTGTAAGGGTGGAGTCCAACCTATCATTCAGGTCACAGCCTAATCCTTTGGGAGTGGCATTTTCTACAAGAGCGTGAGAACTTCTCCTTTCTCTCCTACCTTCCAGGGGCCACCATGTGGGCCAATGACTCTGAGAGCCAACTTCTGAGCTGCCTGTGTCCTGCCACTGACCTTGAATCTGCACCTGCCCACCTGCTATCTCTTTGTATCCCTCTTCACCTTTCTCTGTCATAAGCCTTCCGCTACATGAGTCTGAAAATGGTGAAGAGGACTCCAGCTAGCATTGAACCTATGGACTTAAGTTGGACTTGGCTAAGATGCTCTCTTGATATTAAGTTACTTCTTGATATAAAGTTCCCTCTTACATGAGTGCCACTGGTTTTGTTTCTTTAAAGCAATCCTGCCTAGTGCACATACCTAGCAGAGCTGAATAAGTTATACTTTTTAGATTACATCTCTATTATAAAAATGATAGTAGGTTAGCACTGATTTTATCAAGGTTATGAATTGTGCATCAAGAAAGCTTCAGGGTTGCAGAATAACTCAAAATTGTATCAGTGAAGAATTACTGAAGATGGACATTTACCTTGGAGTAAAGAAGATGTGAGGGAAATTATGGTTGCTTTCCACAATTATTAGAAAGGTTTAAAATAGTAATAAGACCTGGATATTTTCTGTGTCTCCAGAAAGCATCATTATGGCCAATAGGAGAATGTTTAAGAGCACAGACATTATTATAACAAACATTGTTTTAATAACTAGAAGTTAAATAATAAAATGGACTTCCATGATAAATTAAGAGGATGAGAAAAGAATGGATCGTGAAAAAGCAGAAGTAATAAGCTATAGGCACAAATCATGAATTATAATTCACAATAAACAGAACAGAAATAAGAGAGGAGCTAGGTAGGAAAAGAGGATCAACTAAAATATTTGTTAGTGATGGTAATGATATATATATATTTCAAGATAGTTGAGTCTTCAGCAAATTTACTGATAGAGGAAATAAGGTTGGCAGGTGTGTGTGTGTGTAAGAGAGAGAGAGAGAGAATCAGAGACCAGAGCCCAAACTATGAACTGGATAGTTTAAGAACAGCCAAAAGAAAATGTTTAGATGAGAATATAAATGTTTAGATGAGAAAACTCACCCACTAAAAATGAATCACTCAAAGGGAAGCTAGGAGCAATGGAGTTCGGAAGGAGAAGAAATGAAGAAACCGGTAGGAAAACAAAGGGAGTGTGGGCTCCTAAGAAGGTTTATCTAAAAGAGATGGACCTTCACTGTTGATATACATCAAGAAATTATGTGACAAGTATCACTATTGAGTTCATTTAAAATAATTTATGAAGATAGGATCTATCTAATTTTCAGTTCAGTAGAAGAATGTTATTTCAGTGAGATATAATTGTTAACAATATAGGTTTGA